ATTGATAAAAAATGCAAAACTCCATAAAATACAAGTTTCATACAAAATATAGGAAAAAACATGTCTTCTCATGTATTTTAACATCCAAGACTTATCTACTTCACAAGCTTAACAAAGTCTCTAGCCAAAAACTCAGAGAAGAGGTACACTACTTGGTTATTAGTTACAACTACATAACCCATAAAAACTGACTACATGGTGGCTAAAACCCTACTGAGAGGCTGGACATATAATCCTCCCATTATATTGCCAGTATGTACCCCCCCACTGGGTAACTAGCATACACATGCCAATAGGTGGCAGTAAATAGCAGTATACGTGCAAACTGAAAAACTAAACTAAGTCACACGGTTTACTTAGCCATGACAAATCACTTCTGAAACCTTGCCAAGAAAACTGCAGGGACTTATCTTCAAGACTGACTTGAAGGCACACCCAAACAAAAGACCAATGGCCATATCACATAGCAGCACCTAGACAACCTTGACAGGTCTCAGTAAAGTTAAGCAGAGTCCATTGGAAATGCCAGTAGGCTAGAATGGAAATAACAACAACAGCGATGATGGTTATCCTGGAAAAGACCATGGCAAATCACTTCCATATTGCTTGCAAAATGTGGTTGTTGCATCCATGTACTTATCAGGAGTCAAGCATGGCTTAGGGGGTGCTTATTTTTTAAAACTGTTCTGAATTTAATTACAAGAGTGATAGAAAAGGTTCTGCTTCTACTGATACCATAGACACTATCCTGTTATTGCTCTTTATCCTGGGACAGTTTGCGAATCAAATGTCAGTTGGAAACAGTGTGCGCTACCGAAGTAATTCCAGCACAGCTATAAAAGAAATAATGGCAGAACAATCAATCGATATAAAAATAATGAACATGGAATGGCTTAAGACAGATTCCACAGAAATTAGTGTATGAGCTCATGGGAGTGGAAGAAGGATCTCAGCGCAAGAAGCAATTGTCATGATGGAATGAAAGAAGAGGAGTTTAAGTTGCTTTTTTTTTTTGTTTGTTTCCTTTTTATATTGCATGTTCATGTCTTTTGTCAGATAGCCCTCCAAAGGTCAAACAACATTCTCTGCTCTGTCCACTATAAAACCCTTTCATTCCACATCAGTCCTCAAGAACTCTTTAGATAAAGGTTAAGCAGAAAATAGATCTGAACCTTTTGCTAATTCTGTGGATGATTTGCTGCAGATTGTCTAGGATTTCTAGCTTCCTACTGTTTCACACACACACACCACATACACACACCTCTCTTTCTCTTCACCCACTCCTCATATTACATTGGTGAAATAATGAAAGCTTAGTGTGTAACCAGTATGGCATACTTGTGTGGGATGTTTATGAGCTTAGTTCTAGGCCCGGCTAATATACAAAAAAGATCCTGCAAAGCAAACCCTGATCTAGATGATTAAAGGTACATTTCTTGTGCCAGCCTAGCATATGACTGTTCAAGATCTTCATCTGTCCTCTGTCTCATTACTACTCAGTCAGGCCTTGCTGTCTAACCCAGTGTAAATGTTAAGGAGTCTGTGAATGTGGCCAGATGTGATTGCATTATTGAATGTTGATGCTATATCAAAATAACAATTTCCTGAACAGTACTCATGTTCATCTTGTGGTTCCTCAAAGAACTTGTTTTAAGGTGCATTTCTGTGATGCTTTTAAAATTATTTTTATTATTTTTAATCTATTATTCTCTTTTCTTGTGTTTTGGATGTAGGAAACATGTACATCCCTTAACAAGTATCTCTCAGTATCTTCCCATTAGAATACATCTAAAATAAAAGTCACAGAAAGTGCCACTAAGTCACCATTTTGAAAGCCTGTCTTGGTCAAGTCCTGCAGATACTATGACCCTTCTCCTAAAACTAGATTATCTGAGCAAGATCTCAGCAACCTTGAAGAACAGTTACAAAGATTCAGGGAAAGACTAAATGCACTAAATGAACACATCGGTATTATTAATCTGTAACCATGGTAACTTCTATAGCTTGGGATGAGCCAGTTGATTCCAAACTTGGCTTCAAGGGTTCAAGCATTAAAAGTATCATCTCCAGAATATTCATTCGTTTGTTCATACATTCTTCATTCATTCATACCTTCATTCACTCTCAATATTTGTACATCCTGAAAATACTGCTTCCAGCAACAGAAAAGAATATACAGTACTAAAAATACAGCATATGCCTCAAAAACTAGCTTCTAGTTTTTGCGGTCTAGAGACAGCAAAAGCAAAATAAATCAGGTAAGACTAGAATATACTGTAGCTCAGAAAAGACAAAAGAAAACAAATTAGCATGTTCAGCCTATTTAAAACAACCAAAAGAGTGGGGGGCATTGGGAAGAAATTCTAGAAATATATTTGTTTACACTTGAATCAGAAGTCTAGTTTTTAATTACCAGCAATCCTTCTTGCGATGTGCATAAAGGACCACAATACAACTACATATATTTCAGCTCCAGAATGCCATATGACCAGATACAGATCATGGCCTGCTACTATCAATTTCAGATTTCTCCAATGAACCATATATTATCCTTATTTACAAACTAGAAAGTGATTATTATCAGGTTCAGAACTTGGTTTGTAACTCTGAATTAATCAAACTTAATAACTGTCATTCTTCATCACAGTCTCTGTAATTCATACACATGAGTTATATACAGAGACTCTCTTGAATTGAGCTTATAGTATCATTTGGTAGTGCCATAGTATCACTAGGGATGGTACCTACTGAACCCCTTAT